TTTTTTCTTTTGGAAACTTAACTTGGTATGGCTTGGACTGAATATTTATAGTTGGATAAATACAAAATATAACAAACACCATCAGATTCTTCACTAAATGAAAATATGACAAAGCATGTAAAATACAGATAAAATACATAAACCACGAACAACAAATGGTGAGCTGACTTGTGGCTTAGATTTCATGGGCTAGGGATAATCCATCGTTCAACATGTCATGTCAGCAAATAAGACCAAAATTGTGCTGTATAAATTAATTTCTTGCATAAGTTGGAAAACAGCAAGTTGTTGATACACATCAAATTCTCGAAGGAGAAAGAAGCTCGCATATCTCCTTTCAGACTCCTCACTTAATCTTTGTTTTCTGCAAAGCCATAAAGATCGCATTATTGTCAAAGGGACAAGGAAATCAACACATAAAAGATAAATAAAAATGCAGAGGTCTCCAACTTATGTAGGAAGTTCCCAGAATATATATACTCTAGTCTCACAATTGTAGTTAGGCATACACATCATCTCATTTTGCCAAAGTGGAATGGATATTAGATTATAGCAATCGTATTAGTATGCTTGTCCAAACTTGAATATTCTGAATCGTCTTTGAGATATCTCGTCAAAATGACTTCAACATTGCAGAGAATGCCAGAATACAAAGATGGCTTTCAATACATGGTGAAGACGTAATAATCATATTTTATGCAATCAGCAACAAATTCTGTGATATACATGGAGCAAAGAGGGCCAATGTGAGTCGGATTGGATAATTTTGAATTTTTGATTGGAGTCACGAGTCTCTTTCAAAGTTAGCATTGCCCAAATAAAAAGGTGAGGGTTAATAATGTTCTCTCTTTAATGCCCTGAATTTGTCTCATTTCCACATAAACATTCATATACTGAATAGTAAATCAGAAAGGATGTTATCCAATAGCTAAATTGAACTTCATATAATAAAAACATCATAAGCTATTCAGAGACACATCTGGCCCACAGTCACGAAATGCAAGTGAGGCACATAAACATAAAACTAAGGGAAGAGAGTTGGACATGGATCAATAAGTTTACCACGCATAAAGCGATCTAATCAATCTGCAGTAGGACTTGAATAGTTGAATCAAAAGCTTAAAAAGCAGTTAATGTGCTAAATTGTCTTGAATATGTCATGTTACAAGAATACAAGAAAAGACCATGCAGTACTCTGATTATTACCGGTATTTTCTGAATACTTCTGCAGGTGCAAATTTGAAGATTCTTAAGTGGTCTCACCATAATCCATCGCTTCTTTATCTTCTACCATCTGAACATAGGCTATGACTATCTACTGGTCTAACTCATAGTAATGCTTCATTTTCTTCAGTGGTTTCATGTCCAGGTCAATGAGCGATGCCTACTTTAAACATTATGTAAAGATCGTAACGGCAATTAGACAACATATAGAGCACTGGGAAGTGGGAATAGACTCTGAATACTTTTATGAGTTCCATAGTAAATAAATGGAATCAACACTTGTTCTAGTAAAATCCTTTGCCAAACTAAAAAGAAGTCCTGTAACTTTATGGGTGCATTATAACTTTATGAGTTCTCAATGGTGCATAATAATAATAATAATAATAATAATAATAATAATAATAATAATAATAATAATAATAATAATAATAATAATAATAATAATAATAATAATAATAATAATAATAATAAATAAATAAATAAGTGTCAAAGCTTGAAAACGAAATTCATAATGAGCAGTTTGTTCACCTTATAATCAAAAGCTTGATTCGTTGATTCCAGAAAGACAACATGATGAGACGCCGGATCACTATTTCTTCTGGTTCTAAAACTAATCATCAAACTTAGATCCTTCCCAGTGGCAGATATCAAGTAATCGCTCACAACTTTAAGTTTTTCACCCTTGGCAATAGTTGGCATTGCGTGTATATATGAATATCTTCCCAATAGTTTCTTTCTACCTTTTTTCCAGACAAACCATACAAGGCTTGGAAACTACATCAAAAGCATCAAGCTTCTGGACTTGAAGAAGCTCATTCAGCAAGCCAGACTTCACTACAGTTTCAGCAACGAGTTCCACGAAATGTTTGGTGTGCATACCATCCTTCGCCACGATAACATGTTTAATCCCATCCTGGAATGCTCTTTCTACCACATAACTTGGACTTTGTCTGCAGAACCATCCATGCCTCCGTAAATAAGTGAACCGTTTAGGAATACCCGAAAATTATTCTGAGGGGTGAGAAACAGGGATTTAATCACATTTTGTACACTGCTCTTAGACTCAGAAAGCAAATCCAGTGGATTATATTTACTTATTTGGGATATCTGCATTTTTGAAGAATTCCGCATCAGTTACATGCCAAAATGAACTCAATGCAAATACATCGTCGGATAAAAAATTATAAGCATAAACAATCTCAAGTCATCAAAATCATTAAATTACTCACGAGGCATCCAAAAGATTATTCATAATGACAGGAAACGAAAACCTTAGATCAGATCTAAGATCATTCCTTCCCTTGATGCAGGTTTAGAGCTTGGTGCATTTTAAAGCGAGTGATTCTTCGTTTGACCTCATTTAAATTCTGAAGTAGGAAGAAAACCACATTCAGGCTGTTTTACAGAAGAATGGAAGAATGAAATACGTCATACACATTAACAAAATTGCACAGAAATATACATCTCTAACAGGCTAGGACTGAACGTATATATCTGAAAAAAAAGTACCTTTATCTCAACATACACAAAGAAGTCTTCTTCCAGAGTGTACCTGACACTGGAAACAATTAAAAGGTGAGCAGGCTGTAATTTTACAAGCAAAAAGAAAATCTCCCACTAACAGTTAACAATTTTAAAATCCAAATTCATAGATTATGAACCAACTATTAATCACGACAGGTTCAATTAGACTTATTTTATGTCATTGTATATACAGACAAACAATAATGCTCTCTTATCCACGGTGGGCACATGTTAATATGTTCACCGCTTATGTGGCATGCACACATTGGTGATGTTAATGTGTTCAAAAGAATACATCACCAGTGTGTGCATGCCACATAAGCGGTGGGCATATTAACATTTGCCCACCGTGTAGGGGAGCATTACTCTATAGACAAATGAGTCATCCAACTGAAGCTTCTGATTCAAATATATATATATATAGCAGGTCTTGCAGTACGAAGTAGTGATACCGGAAGGAAAAGCTGGAACTTCTTAATGTAACTTAAGCAAGATAAGTATAAAAATGATATTATGTTATGCGAAGAGTGCACAAATAAGAGTAGCACCCCTCAAGACTATATTAAATGCATCACATACCATGAGGAAATACTGAATGATCAGTAATTAGAAGAGCTGAATCACATAATGAATTGACTTTTGCAGCATCAACCCGCCAAGAAGGACGCAGGCGGAGAACTTTGTTCTCGACTGCCTCCAAAAAATCTTTTGATGTAATAAGGCGGATCTGAAAAATGCCACATGACAAAACCCAGCATTACATATGATGGCTACAATACTACTTTTACAATTAAAAAAACAAATAAGAGTTAAGAGAAAGGGGAGGGGTCCGAAACCTCCATAATAATTTTGAGCCATCTTTCAACACTTTTCAAGTGACCACTTTTATTTGGTGAAATTTGTTGACATTTTTGTTTTGCTTATGGACCAAAAAGAACTTTTTGTGATACAACACAAGGTACAAAAAATCGAGGAATATGTGACTAAGTTATGACAGAGCTGAGTCGAGAGGAATCTGACAGTAGAATTACAGAACAGATCATTTAAGGCCAGCTAAAAGACAAGTAGCAGTAACCAATAATACAAAGAGGAAAGTAGTATGTTAATCTTTTATCATTGATTTACTGACAAATCATGGGATCATAATATTGCACAAGGAAAATTTAGCTGCAAATACTTACAATAATAACTTACCCCAGCATCAACATGTTCAGGACCCAACAACGGGATCATTACTTTTTGCACATAAAGTTGCTCTGCAAGTTCCTATTAGGAGCTGAAACAATGCCTTTGAATTCTCCGCAAAGGATGTGCTCAAGCTTGGTTAGAGGTGAATGGCCATTCTCACATTCAGATCCTTTATTCGGAACTTTTGGTATCCTTTAACACCTTTCCTATCTAGTTGCAAAATACAGAGAAAAGACATCAATTAAATCTAGTACACTGAATTATCCATTTATTCCATCAGGAGAATGTTATCTTCATTTCTGGAGAGTGGGTATTTTATTGTCATATATCCTTCTAAAATTTTGTCCATTGCAAATGGAGCTGGAAGAGTCATTGTTGACAATTCTCCTGGCATAGTGCTAATAATGGACTAGATCAAAATGGCTCAATTAAATTCTAGTGCTTCTTCTATTAGTGAAGTTTCTAGAAAAAAAAATATATCAAACAATGCAATGCACCTTGGGTCGCTAGGGAAACAGCCTCCTAAGTATAATTACAAGGGTAAGGTCTGCGTACAACTGACCTCCCAGATCCCAAACAGTTGGGAATATACTAGGTATGTTGTTGTTGTTGTTGTTGTATATCCTTCTAAAATGGAATTTCTCTGTCCAGACAGAACAAAATAAGTTACTTCCAGAAATGAAAAAAATAATAATAAAAATGCTCGTCCGTTCTTGAAAGCACCTTTCGCCTCCCTCTTTCACACTTGGTTTCATCAACTAATTATCAACACTGACTCAACGATAAATTGAAAGCTTCATCAGTGTTTATCTCACTTGCGGAATTATTTCAAACCAAATAGATCTTATTATCTGACGAGTGCAAATTACAAATGATTATTCCTAGGTTTAATGAAACAACTACACCAAACAAACCCTCAAACTCAATAGCCACAGAATGTCAGAATGAAAAGCCTACTATTCCAACAAATACACCTTCGAGTTTGTGTTAAAAATTGATGGGAAAAGAAAAATAGTTTTTTTAGATCGGTCATATACGACTTTTCAGACAGCCAAGTTGAAACCTAATCTCAGACAAACAATCTAAACATAACTTCAAAATCAAAATAAAACATAGTCATAAATTCAAAGAAAATGAGAACATACAAAATTAAGCGAGCTTCCACGGTAAGCAAGAACCAAGTTTACAGCCCCTTCTCCTCTATAAGCCTATTCCCCTGCATCATGTGCTTGTAAAACTACCGCCATCTACAGCACATAACAAAAACTACTTTAACGGTGTGTGCTAATGAAGAAATACATATTGCTGAAATGCTTGAACATGGAAATAAACTCAGCATGCATTCTCTTTTACTAGTACAATTTTACATATGAATTGGATGGGAAGAACGAATTTCCTGATCACCTATCAAAACCATGTATCCTCACTACATATGTGACAAATGCAGCACACTATACAAACTAGCTCATATGTTGAGCTGTGATCTACGGAACTTTATACTAAAAGAGTGAAGGCCATCGAATCGGTCAATAACTAGACCAACATATCAACTTTACTAGTTTTACATATAAATTGGATGGAAAGAACGAAATCGCTGATCACCTATCAAAAACAAGTAGCCGAACTACATCTATGGTTCACTAGTTCACACATGCAGCACACTATACACACTACCTCATGAATTCACCAGTGATCTAACTAGACGAACATATCAAATTTACTATCAATAATCATCTACAATTTGATAAACTGTAATACGCAGCAGAAATGAGAACCACCATACAGCAGCACAAATAAATCGTAACAAACATGCCAAAATAGCAATACAATCAGATTACTCTCACATTCAAGAAGAATAAAATAAGAAAATATGAATTAAAAGAAAAGAAGCAACATTTCTACAGCTAAGTTTCTTGAAAGGTCCGCCCACCCTATGCTAGCAAAAAATCGTTGGGCAACTCATACTGTACTCATAGCATGAACATTATCAATAAAACATTCCACTCCGACCACGATTCCATACAAACAAACAAATTCGTCTGACTAAAAAATTCAGTCCACCGGAACGATCATAGAAAAATGGTAATAAGAAAAGGGGCGAAAAAAGTGGAAAGTTTACTCAATGGAGATTAGTGCAAGGCCGCCTTCTCAGTCGCGGCCGCCGCCACCGCCGTCGCGAACTTCGCCTGAATGTGGATTTTAGAAAATGATGTCCAGAAACCGGCGCCGGCCGTAGAGAAGAGCAGCTCCAAATTCAATGGGCTAAAAGGTGCTTATTTAAAGAAGTGGAGCTTCTACGAGGGTTCTTTGAATCTCATTGATACTGTATTACATGAATGCTTGCTAAAATTTTTACTTAAAATTTAAAATTAATGAGAAAAAATAGTTGAAAATTTTAAATATTTTTATAAAATATATATATATATATATTATTATATATTTTAGTATGACACTTGTTACTTGTGCGACTTATTTGTGTTCTGTTATAATAATTTTTCTAACTTATAACATATAATTATATTAAATAAAAATATATTAATTGAGAAATATTTTTATTTTTTTAATAAATTTCAATAAATCTTTTTTAATATAAAGGTAAATATAATTTATATATTTTATATATACAATATGGATGTTAAATTGAATCTCATCCAAAAATGATTAATTTGATATGTTATATATGTAAAACGATAAGAAATATAAAAGTTATCGACTTTAAAATACATTTACAATTCAATAGTTATAATAAGAAATAATTTAAAGTATAAAACTTCGACACCTAGGATCCTGAAGCATGCGAGTCTGCCACTTAGACTCAGCACATTCAAAAATTTTATATATCTCTACTATACATATAACCCAACAACATTGGACAATTGTGGGATTGACATGTGTCCTTTTGTGTCAAAAATATCCTTCTTTTTATTATGTATTTACAGCTTTACCACATGAGTGAGAAAGACACTTGATTTCCCCCACAAAATCAGAGATTGTGTTTCGTGCTTCACCTCTCTTCCCATCACAATTCACACGCAACAATCACAAATCTCTTACCTGCTCCAAATCAAAACGCCGCCCCAAATCTTCTCCTCCTCCATTTTCGCCATTCCCATACGACGATTTTACACACACACAGACACACACTAAATGCACACCACTGTCAAGTTCAGCCTCAAAGGCCACTTTTCTGAGGCGGTGGCGGCAACCCGAACCTCCCCTTGGAGCTCAATCTGCAGAGGTACGATTTTGGGCCCTGCAGGACCGGGTTCGGCCCGATTGAGTTCTCGAAGAGTATGGTGCCTTTAGGGCCTTTCACAGGTTACGTTTCTGTCTTGAAGGGGTCAAGGTTTTTAAGTCCCGCCCAACAACTTCTGGATGAGCTCTGTGATGTGGGTCGGGCCGTGTATTTGGATAAAACCGGGGCTGACCCAGGATTGCTTGACCCTCCCTTGGTGGATAACTCTATTGGGGATGGGATTATGGATGATAGCAGCGGCGGTGATGGGGGCGAGCAGACGAGGAAGAAATCGAGACTGCTTT